TCGTGTGACTTTGGGCCTGTCTTCTTTTCTCCTGGGTGATCCGACCTTTTTGCCCACCTCACTTTGCAGACAGGGTGTACCAGATGAATGTCGCGGCTGTGGAGAAGGTCAGGGAAGAATGGCAGAGCGAGCACATCAAGGCTTGTGAGGTAAAAACGGCTGCTCAACGGTTGCTCATCGGGGGAGGAATGGCGGGCAGGGGCTAGGGTCGCCAGGGCCGGTGTGGTGTGTAGTGGTTGAGAGCGGTGGACTCTACTCTGGGAGAACCGGGTTTGATTCTAAACTCCTCCACATGCAGCCAGCTGGGTGACTTTGGGTCAGTCACAAGTTCTCTCAGGGCTGTTCTCTCAAGAACAGTTCTCTCAGAGCTCTCTCAGCCCCACATCCCTCACAAGGGTGTCTGGGGAGGGGAAGGGAAGTGGATTGGAAGCCACTCTGAGACTCCTTCGGGTAGTGAAAAGCAGGGTATAAAAGCCAACTTCTTTTTCATCTTCTTCTGGTTTGACTGGGCTGGGAAGGTTTGATTCTTCTGCCAGTGTGAGGTGGCAGGCTTCGATGAACAGCATGTGACCGATTTCAGACTAGAGCTGCGCCGCAGTCGCGCCTCCCTTTGCCCGCTTCTATCGGTCAATTTCCCACTCGAAGCCGCACGGCCGCGTTTTGACCCTCGGCTTTGCCCCGATTTTCCCCGTGGTTTCGTGATACTCAAAAAACAGGATCACAAAACCGCAGGGAAAGTCGGGCAAAGCTACCTGGCGTTACATTTTATGACACACATGGCCTGGCCCGACAAGGTCTCATTTATGTCAGATCCGGCCCTCGTAACAAATGAGTTCGACACCCCTGTTCTAAGCTGCGGAGTCTTGTGAGTCAAAATTCCACTTTGTGAGCTCCTGGCATTAAAGTTGTGAGCGAGCGATTGGGCTGCTGTGTAAATTAGTCTGCTCGGGAGCCACCCTCCCTGAGCGAAGACAACAAATGTGTGAGCCGGAGGCTAAAGAACGGTGAGCTAGCTCACACTAACTCAGCTGAGGGGGTACACTGCCCCCGGTGCTGGTAACCTGACAGAAGACCATTTTATAAGCTGGACCAATGAACTCCTGACTGGTTGGAAACCCTGCCCCCATGTTGTGGTTGTGCCCTGTGGAATGTGGTTTTGCGAGTGTTGTGGGTCGCCACTTGTGCCGTGATGGTTAATGTCACAGGCATGATGAACAGCCCCGGTTCTGTCCCTCCCTCAGTGCCCACAGAATGTGTTTGTCTTGAGATTTATGGGCGTGCCAGGAGGAAAGGGGAGCGTTTTTGAGGGCCAGGAAATCCCATGTTTTAATTTTGTCTTAATCTTGGGCTGTTGCCTCTCCCGGCAGTTCTTCGAGAGCCAAGAGTGCGAACGGATCACCTATTTCCGGAACGCCCTCTGGCTCCACGTCAACCAGCTCTCCCAGGAATGTGTGAAGAACGACGAAGTAAGAGACTCACTTGGACGGCCTCCGAGCTTTCTCTGTCGTCTTGGGAGTCAAGTTGCCACTACACCAAACTGGTTGAGTGCGCGGACTCTAATCTGGGAGAGCCGGGTTTGGTTCCCCACTCCTCTGCTTGCAGCTGCTGGATGACCTTGGGCAAGCCGTAGTTCTGTCAGAGCTGTTCCCTCAAGGACAGTCCTCGAGAGAGCTCCCTCAGCCCCACCTACCTCACAGGGTGTCTGTTGTGGGGAGGGGGAGGGAAAGGAGTTTGTAAGCCGCTCTGAGACTCCAAGTGAAGGGCGGGGTATAAATCCAATCTCATCCTCCTCCTCTTCTTGGCGTAGTGGTTTGGTGTAGTGGTTAAGTGCGCGGACTCCAATCTGGGAGAACTGGGTTTGATTCCCCACTCCTCTGCTTGCACCTGCTGGATGACCTTGAGCAAGCCACAGTTCTGTCAGAGCTGTCCTTGAAAAAGAGCAGTTTCTGTCAGAGTTCTCTCAGCTTCACCTGCCTCCCAGGGTGTCTGTTGTGGGGAGGAGAAGGGGAAGGAGTTTGTAAGCCGCTCTGAGACACCTTTGGGTAGTGAAGGGCGGGGTATAAATCCAAACTACTCCTCCTCTTCTTCTTCCTCTTCCTGCTCTTCTTCCTCTTCTTCCTCTTCCTCCTCCTCCTCCTCCTCTTCTTCTTCCAGGCCTAGCTTCTGTACAATCAGGTTTCAGTGGGGGAAGCAAACTCTGAATACAGAGATACGGTTTCTTAATCTTTAGGATTTCTACCATGTCTTTCGGCTTAAAATAGCAATCAAAGGAGTTTGCATGGAAGGAACAATAACATTGAACAGTCTGCTCCATGAGTAGGGTTGCGAGCTCTGAGTTGGGGATAGGATTGCCTGTGTCGGGGCCTGGGGATTTTGGGAAGGACCACTGATCTCCAGACTTACAGAGGTCAGTTCCACTGGAGAAAATGGCAGCTTTGGGGGGAGGGCTGTAGGGCATTATCCCCCCCCCCCCCTGCCCCTCCCACACCCGCTGTCCCCTTCCCAAACCCCACCCTCTCCTGGTTCCACCCCCAAAGTCTCCAGGTATTTTCCAACCCAGTAAGACACAGGGGAAGGAAAACAAACCTTACCCTAGCCCTGGAATCAAGAACCAAAAGGGTGAGAAGAAAGTCTAATGAAGGGGCAATATTAAAAACCTAGTTAAAACTTATAATATACCAAAATACAAGTATTTATTAGAAAGACAGCTAAAAACACACATAAGGGCCCAATGAAAGCCTCGTAGAAAAGTACAGCCTAAACAGTCATGCCGGCCACATGACCACGGAAACGTCTTCGGACAGCGCTGGCTCTTCGGCTTTGAAACGGAGATGAGCACCGCGACCCTAGAGTCGGATTCGACTGGCTTTCGAGCAAGGGAAACCTTCACCTTTTAAAACACAAGGGCCACATGACCTGATGCGTTTCTGCCCTATATTGAGGTACACATAACTTAAATACATATTGCAATAAGATAACCAATAAGTGAATAATGGACCAGGAAGAGGAAGGTTAAGCAGCAAGATCTAAAGACACATGACAAAGATGTTTGTATATTATAAGTTTTAACTAGGTTTTTAATATTGGCCCTTCATTAGATTTTCTTCTCACCCTTTTTGTTTCTTGATTCCAGGGTTTTGGGTCAGGTTTGTTTTCCTCTCCCGGTGTCTTACAAGCCGTAGTTCTGGCTCAGCTGTTCTTGAAAAAAAGAGCAGTTTCTGTCAGAGCTCTCTCAGCCCCACCATCCTGTTTTTTGAGGATCATGAAACCGCGGGGAAAATAGAGCGAACCCGCGGGTCAAAATGCGGCCGCGCGGCTTCGAGTAGGAGATTGACCAATGGAAACGGGGCAAAGGGAGGCGTGGCGGCGGCGCAGCTCCTTGTGCGAAATCAGCCACACAGTCTATCCTTCCAAAGGCCATGTTCTCCAGGGGAACTGATCTCTGTTGTCTGGAATTCAGTTGTAATTCCAGGCTCCGCCTGGAGACTGGCAACCCTATCAGTGAGACGAAACATCAGAAGCAGTTCCATTCTGGGGTTCTGAAAGCACAACTGAAAAGGATAAGTTCTTTCTAGCGTCTTGAAGATAATAGTGTAGGGGCTGGGTAGATTCGGCCTGGGAGGAAATTCTGTGACTGAGGTGCCACCACGGAGAAGGCCCTGTTTCCGGAAAGTATCTACCTAACCTCTGAATCCTCTGAATGAAGAGGAGCTGCAGTGGCTCAAGTGGTTAAGGCTCTGAACTGCAGGCTGTGGAAGGTCGGTAGTTCAGCAGTTCGAGACCCAAGTGTGCCGCATGACGGAGTGAGCTCCTGTCTCTAGTTCCAGCTCCTGCCAACCTGGCAGTTCGAAAGCAAGAAATTGCAAGTAGATAAATAGGTACCACTTCGGTGGGAAGGTAACAGCGTTCCGTGCGCCTTGGTGTTTAGTCATGCTGGCCACATGACCACGGAAACGTCTTCGGACAGCGCTGGCTCTTCGGCTTTGGAACGGAGATGAGCACCGCAACCCTAGAGTCGGATTTGACTGGCTTTCGAGCAAGGGACCCTTTACCTTTACTTTAACCTCTGAACGAGGGGCCATACGGAGATCAGCCTCTGCAGGCGATCCTAACTGACCGGCAGGTCCTTATAAACGGAAGTAAACGGTCTTTAAGAGAACCCTAAACGGACCAAGGCCACCAGAGTCGCAGCTGCATTCTCTGCGTGCAGAGCAATGGCAGCGGGTGGAATGCTTTGAAAAATGAGTTGAAACTGACTGTGCCAAATGGGACTGGAAAGGCCAACAGGTGATTGGAGGGTGGAAGACAGGAAAGTGAATCTTGAAAGGCAGGGAGGAACATCGACCTGGATGGCCCCGGCTAGCTTGATCTCATCAGATCTTGGAAGCCAAGCAGGGTTGGCCCTGGTTGGTATTTGGATAGGAGACCACTAAGGAATACCAGGGTTGCTACACAGAGGAAGGCAATGGCAAATCAGCCAGAGGGGCCATGGCCCAGTGGTAGAGCACCTGCTTGGTATGTGGAAGGTCCCACTTTCAATCCCCAACATCTCCAGTTAAAAAGGTCCAGGCCGTAAGTGATGTGAAAGACCTCTGCCCGAGACCCTGCAGAGCTGCTGCATGCAGTCTGAGTAGAGAATACTGACTTTGATGGGTCTAATAAGAATAGTCAGAGGTCATTTCGGGGGGGATCGCGGGGGATCGCAGTTCCCCGGGTGAGGTACGGGGGGCGCGGCACATGACGAAGCCCCGCCCCCTGCTTCCGGCCGCCCCGCTTCCAGCCCTCATTCAGCCAGGAGGAGGCAGGAGAAGAGGGAGGGTAAGTTGCTTCCTCCCTGCCTCTCCCCACCCCTGCCTGCCTGGGGCCAGGGAGGGCCTTTGCGGGGCTTCCTTGCACTCCCGCCAGCCTTGCAGGTCCACCGCCGGGCCCCTCATGGGGCTCGGCAATGGAGCTGCAAGGCCGGCGGTGGAGGCCGGGACCGTTGGGGGCGGGGTGTGTGGCCTTATGACACACTTCCGGTGATGTCAGGGGGTGTAGCATATGCTAATGAGTTATGCTAATGAGCCCCCCCAGCTCTTTTTCTACGAAACGACCCCTGAGAATAGTTATTGTATGGCCTTGTGTGTAGTATAGCCAGGAGATCCTAAGATTGTCTGGCAGCCAGACGTTCTAGCTCTTTTAGTGTTATGCACCGCTAGGTGGTGAGCTAGACTTGTTTTTAAGGCAAGCCTTCAGTAGAAGGCAGCCCCGGAAAAAGGGGTGCAGGCCCTTCCTTTCCAAGCTGAAGGAAAGAAAAAAAAGATTTTAAAAACCCCACGAAACTGAACTCTGTGGTCAGAGCCTATGAATCTATGGACTTTTCTGCATTCTCATTTCCCACTCTCGTGTCTGCCTGTTACTTTGGTGTGTGTGCGTTTTTTTTTCCTGTTCTGCATGTGTTTGGCTGCCTCTAGTGGTCCATTCGATATTGCGTTGCTTTATGTCTTCCTGCAGGTTTAAACCGCGGGTTTTGATGCGGCCCATACATCAATGGGATATCGAATCGGCCACTAGAGGGAGCCAAACACATGCAGAACAGTTTATGATAACAGCCAAGCCACGGGAACACACAAGTGGGGAAAATGAAAATGCAGAAAAGTCCTATATGAGGGGGAGATGGGGGGTGTTGGTGGGAAATATAACTCAGTGGATGTTTGCTGTTAGGGGACTGAAAGACAGCTAACCTAAGTACTTCATTTGAGGGAGGTGTCCATGGCTCAGTGGCAGAGCATCTGCTTGCAGGGGCGTAGCCAGAAAAAATTTGGGTGGTGGGGCATTGGGAAATTTGGGGGAGCAGGAAAGAGAGAGAGAGATCGAGAGATCCTGTTGGCAGGCTTTCCTTACCTGCCGGCACAACTCCCACGGCAGGAGTTGTGGGGCACGGGCCACGAGTGAGGGGGCACCTACCTGGTGGAACGAGCTCCCGGAGGAGATCCGGGCCCTGAGGGACCTTGCACAGTTCCACAGGCTATTCGGAACATCCAGAGCACTTAATAACAATGTTGTAACATTGTAGGAATGATTTTAAATGGTTTCAATTGTGCTTTATGTGCTGGCTTATGCCTGATTGTGAGCCGCCCTGAGCCCGCGTTGTGGGGAGGGCGGGCTATAAATTGAATTTATAAATAAATAAATACAATAAATAAATGCCCCACTGTGGCTTCGGGCCAATCTGCTTGGTATGCAGAAGGTCCCAGGTTCAATCCTCAGCATCTCCCGCTGAAAAGGACCAGGCAGCAGGTGATGTGAAAGATCGTGGTCTGAGGCCGTGGAGAGCTGCTGCCGAGACTGACTTTGATGGACCCAGGGTCTGATTCAGCAGACGGCAGCTTCTTATGCTCATCTATGACCTTCAGGTTCACATTCCCTGGCTTCCTTCCTTATGCTTGCAGGAAGAGAAACGTCTTGCGATCCAAGCGTGTATCTTCCACCTGATTTTACTGAGCTCTTTTTTGGAGTAAAGGGAAGGACTTTTTTTTCTTTGCATGCTGTCAAAGTGCGCTTTTTTTTAAAAAAAAAATCTCTCTTTTTCCCCCAAAAAACAATTTATTAGGATATATTATTAGTTCAAATACACAACATATTACTTTTTAAATTATACATCCTTTTTTCCCCTTTCCCCCTCCCCTCTGGCTTCCCACAGTGCTCCAACCTCCAGCCCATTTCTTAGGTCTTCCCTATTTTCCACTTATCTTTTAATCATAGTCTACCGGTAACACTTCCTTCTACTATTATTTTCTCATAATTAACTTTTATCTTAGTAACATTAACTTTTAAATAATTGTCAAAGCAAATTAAATTGTCCTGTACACCCCAATATTTTTCTAAATATTCTTTCAAGTCTTTCCAGTCTGCATAGAATTCTTCTGCTTCAAGATTCTTAAGTTTCCTTGTCATTTTGTCCATTTCAACCATAAATAGTAATTTCTTTATCCATTCCCCAATTTCCGGGATTCTGTCTTGTTTCCAACATTGTGCATAAGTCATTCTAGCAGTTGTGATCATATACCACATCAAAGTTCTTTTCTGCACATTAACTTCTTCCATTTTAAGCCCCAACAGTAAAATTTATTTTTAAAAAATCTCTTGTGCATCACAGTGTTACGAGGAAGTGCGGAAGAGCTTGGAGACGTGCAGCATCGAGAAGGACATCGAGTGCTTCGTGAGCATCCATAAAACGGGCACTCTCCCGCCAAGTAAGTTGCACGACGGCTGGGTGTCTGACGCCCCAATGGGCAGACACTGTGGCTGCAGTCTTCAGGACACTTTCCTGGGTGTAGGTCTCCTTGAATGACGGAGCACTTACCTTTTTAGGCTTACTCCCTATGTAGGGCTTCCATGGTCTCTCCTCCGTTTTTTCCTCACAACAGCCCTGTGAGGTAGTAGAAAAGAGCAAGAGTCCAGGGGCACCTTCAAGACTAACAAAATTTGTGGCAGGGTCACATTGTGACGTCCTTGAGTCACGGCTCACTTCTTCAGTTACTAGCGGCTCACGAAAGCTTTAGGCCTGCTGGCTACCCTATTTGTATGCTGTTTCCAGCGGTCCTTGACGGCCTGCTGTTGTGCCAGTATCACAAATGTTTGGTCCATTCACCAATCGGATATGTAACAAAATTTGTGGCAGGGGAGGAGCGTCCTTGAGTCACGACTCACTTCTTCAGATACTGGCGGCTCACGAAAGCTTCAGGCCTGCTGGCTACCCTACTTGCATGCAGTTTCCAGCGGTCCTTGACGGCTTGCTGTTTTGCCAGTATCAAAAATGTTTGGTCCATTCACCAATCAGATACGGTCATCAGTTGTCCAGTAATGGCCAGGCAATTAGAACACTGATTTGGTGGCTCCTAGGCCTACCGGAAGGTTGGTAGTTCGGCAATTCGAGACCCAAGTGCCGCTTAGGCCACTGCCATTTTCTGGAGTAGCTGTCCTGTTCACGTGACCTGTGATTTGACTCTGAGACACCCCTTAATGATACAGAACAAAGTCGGAGTCCAGTGGCACCTTTAAGACCAACAAAGTTTAATTCTGGGTCTAAGCTTTCATGTGCACGCACAATGATACGTCTTCCCGAAAAAGCAGAGCACCCTAAATTGCCAGGTGGGGCTTTTTGTTTTTTCTGGACACAGTGTGAAACACCGTGTATAATCGCCGTAGCCGTTTCCTGGTCCGATAACACGAGCAGTGCCTTTGAGCTTTGGGCCTCTTCGCCACCCTTGGATGTTGGTGTTCTGTGTTTTTTTCCTTTTTAAACTGGCTCCCCGCTCCCCCTTTTGTTTGCAGCTCCCGTGACCTATGAAAATTATTATAACAGCCAGAAGTCGGCAGCCCCGGGAAGAAACCAAGCCCCCCCAGCACCAGGAATGGGGAGGTGAGAAAGAGGACCCAACGGCACGAGAGGCTGGCGAGCTCTGATGGAGGGGGGGACGGGACACTGAACTTACAGGGAGAGTCCCTGGTGGCAGCTGGGAACAAGCTGAGTCCGTCTCTGACCGAGGGAGGCCACCTCTGAGCTGGGAAAGTCCAGGAAATCAGGGGGACGGGGTGGAGCCTGGGGAAGGGAGGGTTTGGACAGGGGAGGGACAGCAGCGAGCAGGTCGCAAAAATAGTGTGGGAGGTAAAAGGTCGCCAGGTCAACCGCTGGCCACTGGCAGGGGGGTTGGGGTGTAGGGTTGTCATCTCCGGGCTGGGAATATAAGAACATAAGAGAAGCCAGGGCTATTTTGGGGCAGGAACGCACAGGAACAGAGTTCCGGCTGGCTCCCGAGTTGGCCACGCCCAGCAGGAGCTCATTAGCATAACAGGCCACACCCAACAGCAGAAACTCATAAAGATTGGCTACATTAGGGGCGTGTGGCCTAACATGCAAAGGAGTTCCTGCTACAAAAAGAGCCCTGATACAAACAAGGTAAACAGAATAAGAAGGGAAAGGTGGGTGTGGCTGGATGAGCACACTTCTGGTAACATGGGGGTATGGCCTAATATGCTAATGAGCTGTACTATCAGGGGTGTGGCCTAATATGCTAATGCGTTTCTGCTGTTGGATATGTAATGAGTTCCTGCTGGGCTTTTTCTACAAAAAGAGCCCTGAGAGAAGCCATGTTGGATCTGGCCAGTGGCCCATCCAGTCCAACAGGCTGTGTCACACAGTGGCCAAACCCCAGGTGCCACCAGGGGGTCCACCAGTGGGAACCCCAGAACTCCTCCCAGTGTGGCCCCCCAAGCATACAGAGCATCACTTGCCCCAGACAGAGTGTTCCATCTACACCTTGTGGCTAATAGCCACTCACGGACCTCTGCTCTGAAGAGAAGTCATGTTTGATCCAGTGTTCCTTCTAAGCCGAGTTAGTGTGAGCTAACTCAGTTTTTTAGCCTCCAGCTCACAGATTTTTGTCTTAGCTCAGGGAGGAGGGCTCCAGAGCAAACTAATTTATCCAGCAGCCAAATCGCTCGCTCACAACTTTAATGCCAGTGGCTCACAGAGTGGACTTTTCGCTCACAAGACTGCACAGCTTACAGGGAGCATTGGCTGGATCAGGCCAATGGCCCATCGAGTCCAACACTCTGTGTCACACAGTGGCTAAACCCCAGGTGCCACCGGGAAGTCCATCAGTGGGGCCAGAACTCCAGAAGTCCTCCCACTGTTGCCCCCCCCAAGCACCAAGAAGACAGAGCATCACTTGCCCCAGACGGAGTGTTCCATCTGTACCTTGTGGCTAAAGCTTCTGATGGACCTCTGCTCCATATGTTGATCCAATTCCCTCTTGAAGCTGTCCATGCTTGTAGCCGCCACCACTTCCTGTGGCAGTGAGTTCCACGTGTTACACTCCTGGAGATTTGGGGATGGCGTCCATCGAGTCCCCCTCCCCAAGCACATTTGAACTACATTCAAAGTATGTTCAAAGATCTCTAAATAAAGCATATGTCTTAAAACATCCTCCCTTGTGGATGCCCACCTTAACATGGTGATTATTTTGGTGTGGAACCCATACTCCAGACAAGAGGCTACTATTAGGACAGAATACGGCGAAGCAGACTGGTTTCCAGTTGGCAAAGGTGTCAGACAACGATGTATTTTCTCCAGGGGAACTGGTCTCGGTAGTCTGGAGACGAGGTGAAATTCCGGGACCTCCGCAGGTCCCACCTGGAGGCTAGCATCCCTACTTTCCTCCTGAGCCACGGTCCAGATACAAATTGGGCCCAGGGCAGTTGGAAATGAAGCTTCCACACAGAATTCCTAACACGTGTCTAGTGAAGCAGCACCCAGGACAGACCTGGAAATACTGCGATGTGCATAATTACTCTGAGATAGTAATTGCTCTGAGATAGAAACACCTTGTAGTGTTTGGTGTAGTGGTTAAGTGCGCGGACTCTAATCTGGGGGAACCAGGTTTGACTCCCCACTCCTCCACTTGCACCTGGCTGGATGGCCTTGGGCGAGCCATAGTTCTGACAAGAGCTGTTCTTGAAAAGGAGCAGTTTCTGTCAGAGCTCTCTCAGCCCCGCCTACCTCACAGGGTGTCTGTTGTGGGAAGTGGAAGGGAAAGGAGTTTGTAAGCCGCTCTGAGACTCCTTCGGGTAGTGAAGGGCAGGGTATAAATCCAATCTCTTCCTCTTCTTCTTTTACCTCACAGGGTGCCTGTTGTGGGGAGGGGAAGGGAAAGGAGTTTGTAAGCCGCTCTGAGACACCTTCGGGTAGTGAAGGGCAGGGTATAAATCCAATCTCTTCCTCTTCTTCTTTTACCTCACAGGGTGTCTGTTGTGGGGAGGGGAAGGGAAAGGAGTTTGTAAGCCGCTCTGAGACTCCTTCGGGTAGTGAAGGGCAGGGTATAAATCCAATCTCTTCCTCTTCTTCTTTTACCTCACAGGGTGCCTGTTGTGGGGAGGGGAAGGGAAAGGAGTTTGTAAGCCGCTCTGAGACACCTTTGGGTAGTGAAGGGCGGGGTATAAATCCAATCTCTTCCTCTTCTTCTTTTACCTCACAGGGTGTCTGTTGTGGGGAGGGGAAGGGAGAGGAGTTTGTAAGCCGCTCTGAGACACCTGTGGGTAGTGAAGGGCGGGGTATAAATCCAACCTCTTCTCTTCTTGTACATGCTGGAGTGCTGTATAAATGCTAAGTATTATTAAGAGCCATCTTCTGTTTGCAGGAGGCCACGGTTACCAGTACCCTCCGGTGGACCAGGTAAGTGGCCAACTGGTCCTCGAGAATATATACTGCTTTTTGCAAACCTATCGTGTGCCGTGTAGGGATGCCAGCTCTTGAGTGGGAAATTCCTGGAGATTTAGGGGTGGAGCCTGGGAAGGGCGGGGCTCGAGGGAGAGAGGGACCTCCGTGGGGTATAGTGCCATAGAGGCCGCCTTCCAGAGTGGCCATTTTCTCCAGGTGAACTGATCACTGTAACCTGGAGGCAAGTTGTAATCCCGGGCGATCTCCAGCCGCCACCTGAAGACTGGCAACCCTAGCTGCCGTTTGATTTTGGATTTTCCGTGACATCAGCAGGGCTACCAGAAGTCTCCGCTCCCAAATGTACTGCCTTTCTAGGGTTGCCATTTGCCTGGGGTGGGGGTGGGGAGATCCCTTGAAATGTATCAGACTCAGGCAGCTCTTAAACAAGTGAATTCAGCTTTATGGAAGCAGAACAAATCGACACGAAAAACCATAGGGGCCTGAGCTCCTTTTAAACATCCCGGGCTGGGACGGCCACGCCCAGACGAACGGTAAGAACCAATCATATTTACAAGATAAAGACCAATCATTGTTGTTCACTCCAGTCACAGTCCTTAGCTCTGACTGGCCCGCTGTCAGCAGCAGCCAATCAGAACGTGCACTTTAGGATACCAGTTTTTAATAGCAATGTCTGAAGCTAGGTATGCAGTAGTAATCATAATACATAATACACAACACCGCCGATTTTGCAGGCTCTTGCCCACCGCAGGCTAGCTGGCCGGCAGGAAGGAATTCCCCCCCCCCCCCAATAGCAACGTCACACACAACGTGCCTGCGTCACCTAGAAGTTAGGCTGGGACGTGTGTTTGGGGGTGACGCCTTGGCTTTTGGGCAAAACTCTATGGTTTGATGCCGATTTTACCTAAACTCTATGGTTTGATGCTGATTTTGCCTAAAATCCAGAGCGTCCCCCCATGACATTGCTGACGTGCTGGTGTCAATTCTGGGTGACGCAGGCATGTTGCGTGTGACGTCACTGTTTTGGGGAGAATGGCGGGCGATGTCACTTCCCACTTCCGGAACGTCTTCCCATCCCCTTGCCAGCAGTGAAAAGGACCTGGCAACCCTATTTCTTTCTCCATGTGACCCTTTCTGCTTTTATCAGCTGTTTCGTTGTAAAAAATGATATTGTAGAAATACCAGATATAGCGACAAAGTAGTTTTGGTGCTTGAAGGTTGACTGTGCAAAGAACGACACACACAAACAGCTCTGCAGAAATCTGTCTCCTCCTACCCGGAGAAGCAGGCTTTATTAGATTTCCTTCCCTCCTTCCCCCTCTCCTATGCATCGAAAGTTACAAGTCACCCTTACTATGAGCTACGAAAAGAGGAATGTGTTGTGAAGACAGCCTCACTGTCTTATCTCCTCCCGACTCTCTGCCAAGTTACTTCTCACGATGAGCTCAGCAATCTTGTGCATTCTACACTCTGGTTCCCAATTTCCCTGCAGGAGTAGTGAACTCCGGGCTTGCCACACAGAGAACACTGTCCCTACAGGTGGTTTCTTGAAGGAACATAACCTGGATCGGACCAATGGTCCATCTTTTAGACCGACATCTGTCTCACACTGGTGTCAACTAGTTACTCCAGAGCAAGGGTTCCCAACCTTGGGGTTCTGACCCAGGGGTGGTGGGCACGACTATAAAATGGCTGCCAAGGGAGGTGGAATCAACTAGAAAATAGCTGCCACAAGAGGTGGACCCCCTCATACAGAGGAAGCCCAAGGGAGGGGAAGAAGGGAAACAATTCAAAAAATACACTTGGGGGATAGGAGTGAGAGAGAATGTCCTCTTTTGGGGTTGGGAATAGAGATGTGAGAGCTTGGGAAAAAAACGGAAAAATTTGGGGGGAAACCCGAATTTCCCCCGTTTTTTTCCTGAAGCCTTTTTTAGTCTTTTTAAAGTTTTTTCCCGAAAAATTGGAAAAATTGAAAAAATAAAAGAAAAGGAAAAAAATTGATTATGGAACGTTTTATTTTAACATGATGTATCAAATATTTTAAGATAAGGTGTCCAAATAATTTCTAAAAAAATATGTATGGTATCAGATTGATCTAATTTCTGTGCACCGAGGACAAGCAAGCCCTAGGTTACAAACTGAACTCTCCAATGCAAGAACAAGATGCATTTCTTCCTTTAGGAGGTGCTATTGTCACAAGAAAAGAAAAAGGTTTCAGTTTTGTTTTTGCATGTTGGTGGGTATCCTGTTTGTAATAATTGTTTGGATACACTGTAAACTGCATGATTAGATAATACTTCATGTCTAACAATACAGAAGTGACAGTCTGTACAGTAACTGAGAGACAAACACAATTTTAGATAGTTCAAAAGAATAAGAGTTTCTGGTAATGACGATTAAATATATTTTTAATATGCTAGTTGAGATAATTTCATGCCAAGTAAAAATGTCCATAGTCATATTTTATATTCCTAAAGTAACAGAATGTCTTTCAATCTGGAAAAGAAAAAAGAAGTGCTAATATAGCATTTTTTTCAATTTTTCTGAAAATTTCCATTTCCCCCGAAAAAAACTGGTTTTTTTTCCCGAGCTTCAAAATTTCTGGAAATTTTACATCTCTAGTTGGGAAATTAGGAATATTCCTAGATTCAGGTGGGGCAGCCATTTTGGTCTGAAGCGACAGAACAAAGTTTGAGTCCAGCGGCGTCTTGAAGACGAACAAAGTTTTATTCAAGGTATTCCTAGTTATTTTATTCAGATATTCCTAGTTCGTAGCAGTTATCACAGCTTAAACACTAGGGGTATTTAAAACGAGGTTTGTCGTAGCGATCCCGTGTTTGAAGTCGTCAGTTGGGAAATATGTCCTCTAAGCGTGCCTACTCTCCTCCCTTTTCACTGTATGTGTTTCTTGTGATCTGTTCTTTCCAGGAGACCCTGAATACTCTACTGTCGATGGTTACAGTTTAATACAGCATCACTAATCTGAAAAGAGTAAGTCTGTTTGTCAGATCTGATCGGGGAGCTCCTGAGAGCCAGGGCTATTTTTGGGCAGGAATCGGAGTTCCGGCTGGCTCCCGAGTTGGCCACGCCCAGCAGGAACTCATTAGCATAATAGGCCACACCCAACAGCAAAAACTCGTTAGAATTGGCTACATTAGGGGTGTGTGGCCTAACATGCAAAGGAGTTCCTGCTCCAAAAAAAGGCCCTGGGTTTTGACAACAAACAAGGTAAACAGAATAAGAAGGGAAAGGTGGGTGTGGCTGGATGACCACACTTCTGGTAACATGGGGGTGCAGCGTAATGTGCTAATGAGCTGTGCTGTCAGGGGTGCGGCCTAATAGGCTAATGAGTTCCTGCTGTTGGGTGTGGCCTATTATGCTAGTGAGTTCCTGCTGGGCTTTTTCTACAAAAAGAGCCCTGCAGCTATTTCCTGTCATCCGGCAATGTTCTTGGCTTGAGGTGGGAGGAAATTCCACCCCTTTGAAAGTACGAGTGGGTGGCGCCAAAGTTTTGAAACATTCAGGGAAACCAGATATTGCGGACGATGAAGAAATGCCTCACATGGGGCAGTCTCGCAACATCTGTAAAATAAACCTTATTATGGCTCATAAATTCTACAGGCTGGAAAGGATCTTGGCTTTCGACCTGGGAAGTCCAAACTTGTCAGTGAAACAGGACGTTCCTTCCTACTTTGGGCTTGGGAGCCTTATCTTGTGGCTTTCTTCAGTAGGGGACAAGGCCAGTGTTCCCTCTGAGCTGAGTCTGTGTGAGCTCGCTCACAGTTTTTTATCCTCCGGCTCAGGAAGGGATGGCTCCAGAGCAAACCAATGTATGCAGGAGCCAAATCACTCGCTCACAACTTTAATGCTGGTAACTCACAAAGTAGAATTTCTGCTCACAAGACTCCACAGCTTAGAGAGAGCCTTGGGACTGACCATTCTGGGTGTCATAGATATGGTTGTCAGCTCTGGGTTGGGAAATACCTGGAGATTTTGTGGGTAGAGCCTGGGGGGCGGGGCTTGGGGAAGGGAGGGACTTCAGAGGGGTATAATGCCATAGAAGAGAGAGAGGGAGAGAGACTGAATGTATACCCCGCCCTTCACTACCCGAAGGAGTCTCAGAGCGTCTTACAATCTCCTTTCCCGTCCCCTCCCCACCCTGTGAGGCAGGTGGGGCTGAGAGAGCTGTGACTGAGAACTGCTCTTGAGAGAACAGCTCTGAGAGAACTTGTGACTGAGCCAAGGTCACACCAGCAGCTGCATGTGGAAGAGTGGGGAATCGAACCTGGTGCTCCTAACCATAAGAACATAAGCGATAAGCCTGTGTTGGATCAGGCCAATGGCCCATCTAGTCCAACACTATTGTCATACAGTGGCCAAAAATACCAAGTGCCATCAGGAGGTCCACCAGTGGGGCCAGGACACTAGAAGCCCCTCCCACTGTTGCCCCCCCCAAGCACCAAGAATACAGAGCATCACCTGCCCCAGAGCCCCTATCTATACCTTGTGTCTAATAGCCACTGATGGACCTCTGCTCCATATGTTTATCCAATTCCCTCCTGAAGCCGTCCATGCTTGTAGCTGCCACCACCTCCTGTGGCAGTGAATTCCATGTGTGAATCACTCTTTGGGTGAAGAAGGACTTCCTTTTATCTGTTCTAACCCGACTGCTCAGCAATTTCATGGAGTGAAAGGGAGAAAAGTACTTCTTTCTCGACCTGCTCTACCCCATGCATAATCTTATAAACCTCGATCATGTCACCCCTCAGCCGTCGTTTCTCCAAGCTAAAGAGCCCCTACACCAAACTGGCTCCCCTCAATACTTAGGCACATGGAGCACCATGTACCTGAGGATCAAATCAGAAAAATCACTGGTAGCTCTGGACCACGGATACCCAGCAACCCACTTGCTTTGGCACCGAGTCATTTGGGAAGAGGTTCTGGGCTGCGTCTCAGCCATCCCCCCCCCTTCTGTTTAAAGGGGCCTGCTGCTGTTTAAGGGCTCCCCGAACCATGCAATTGGCCCAAGGGGGCACCCAGTTCGATCTCTGGCAGGAACTGGGAAAGCATGTGTTTTATAAATGCTCGGATCCTTCCTTTTAGAGAAAGTGAAGGAATCGTGTCGGAAGGATCTTGCGAAATGGGCTCGATGCACTTTGGAGAATCATAGCTCTTCAGTTCCCTGGCGTGCTTTATTTATTAATCGCATTGTTCTTTTTTTCCCCTCTTCCCTAGATCTGAAGCCTTTTTGCCCGACCACACCTCCGTGAGAGGGGGGAAAGCAAAGAGCGATCTGTATAATGTTATCGAAACCTGAGGTTTCCCTGCGAATGTGATTTCTCCTTGGCCGGACTCATTCTCTTTCTTACGACTATAAATGATGCAGTTTGCGCACGACGAAAGATATGCGGGAGGCAGAAGACCAGCCTTAAAAACTATTAAGGACAACCAAATGCCCCAGACTGAATTTTGATTTAAAAAAAAAAATTCCCCAGGAGGGAACCTCATCAATTACTGATCGGTGGAGTACGGCCTCTAGAATGCTACGTCTGGAGACGGAAATCCAGGCTCAAATCCTTACCTTGCTGTGAACCTGGCTGAATGCTCTCAGGCAAATTCTTATGTCTCGCCTACCTCACAGGGTTGTTGTGCGGGAGAAATGAGATACACCCCCCACACCAGGTATATTGTCCTGAGCTCTTTGAAGGAAGTGTAGAATTTAACTGGGGCAACTACAGATGCTCGAGCAGGGGAGAGGCAGTCGTTTTGGCCCCAGTACTGACAACACAGCATCTACCTGTGACGAAGTTGGTGTGTGGGCAAAACAACCATGGAATGCCTGCCTCCAGGTGGAAACAAGTTATATATATGCAAAGGAACCAGGGTCTGAATCAGAAGTAAGGAAACGATAGAGCCGAACCGTGCGAAATGATTTGTATGCCATTATTATGTATATTAGAAGAGTAGTATAAAGTT